CCGTTTGTATGACGAAGAGTACAGAGGGCGAATACACCCTGGGTTGAGCAGGCTGCTGGAGTTGAAATCTTGGCTGTGCCATCAACAGGCTTCGTGACTTTGGGTAAACAATCTACCATCTCTGGGTAGAAAACCATAAAATCATAGAAAATGAGGTTGCGGATTGCAAACAATAACAGATAAAGCAAATGGCTCATAAGTAAGTACACTTACTAAAATCGTTATTATTTCCCCAAGGCAAGACATCAAAGAACAATCTGATGAAATTCAGATCAAGGGAAAAGACACCCACTGTAGGCAGATCATAAAGTAAAAAAGGAAGTAGCAGGCTTCATTAATTTCCTTTCTCTACTCTAGCACTAGGCATTAGTCAACTTCTCCCTTATCCATGCTGATAAATACCAGAGAGAAATCCAGACAAAATGCTTTTATTCATTAGATCATTAGGGTGCTTAGTCTGTGCGATATTATGGTCTGTATGTGCTGCTGACAGTCTATCAATGCTAGAAAATTATAACGGTACTTCTTTGACGGTAGTGATAAGTGGTGATCTACCAGAATACTTGTCAGGCAATGCAAAAGCTGAGACATTCATCAGAGGTGTTTACACATCACGAGCCTCTGCATTTGCACTGCCTGCCCATTTACCTGCCAAGGCTGGCTTTCAGAAAGCAAGAATCCTCCCATGCGTTTCAAAGGAGCCTTTAGCAAACAGCACATAGTCGTTTCTGTGTTTAATTCAGCCTGCCCGCCCTGAATTGGGTTTCTTCCTGGGAGATCCTCACTCTCCCTTCCATGCTGCCCTTGACCTTGCAGACTTGGATCCTGGTGTCTCCTAGCTCACAGGTATGCAGTATTTTCAGGGTCAAGAATATGTCCTTTCACCCTCGCATCCTTTTCTTCCTCTAGAACCATCAGCATTTGAGAATGGCCTTTCCCAATGGTTTGGAAAAGTTGAGGTGGGGATAGGGAGGCTGTTTGTAAAGAGACAGCTCCTCACGCGGGATGTGCCATGTAGACCTGTGGATTGGCAGGAGTGGAGGCAGATAGGGACTGCCCCTGCTGAGCCCTTTCTCCAGAAGGGACCCGGCCATCTCTGATCTTTCCTCCAGCCCTGGGTTGACCCTGTGTTTCCACTTAACTCTTCACCGCTTTAGGTCCCGCCAAAGGCTAATGAATGCTAGGAACTTCCAAAGCACGATCCTAAGGGTAGGAACAGACACCAATGGGCGGTTTCACATGGGATGTGAAAGCGAAGATACTGTGAAGGTGCTGAGCGTCGTCGCTGCTGCTCTCGGTGCTACCGACCCTCTCCATCAGACGCAGCTCCTGCATCTGCTCTGCGCATAGCTAGAACTTTCTCCCGCTCTGAGCCGAGCGGGAGACCCAGTTGGAGGAGAACCCCCGACAGAGACTAGGGGAGACGCGAGAAGAGCCGGGTGCACGCGGAGGACCGGCCAGAGCCGCCGCCGCAGCCCCGCACCCCGCCCGTCCGGGTCCCCGGCTTTGCGGCCGCGGCGCACGCGTGTGGAGCCGGAGCGAGCAGCTCCCTTTGCCCTGCGCCCCGCCCGGCCAGCGCCCAGCACCATGCGGAGGGTGAGTGCGCGGTGGCCCCGGTGGGAGGTCGCGGGAAGGGCGGGAAGGACGGGAAGCTCCAGGCGGGCACCTGCGGTGGTCAGTGTCCAGGCCGGAATGTCCGGCCGGCGGCCCCAGCTCCGCAGCGCACCCCGCGAGCCGCCGAAACTTTGCGGGCGTCGGTTGGGCTCCCTCGGTGCCCGCCCGGGAGGAGACGGACGGGAGCAGTAAGCTCGGAGTCCGGGTCCCGGGGGGACGCGGCGCGGGGAGGGCACAGAGTGTGCGGGGCAGTGGTCCTGGTCCGTAGCCCCCCCACCCCCCGGGGTGCCCCGGAGGCTGCTTCGCCCTGCCGCAGGGAACCCGAGGGCGCCGACCGAGCCGGTGCCAAGTTCCCCCAGCCGGCCCGGTGCGGCGGCTTGAGGGTCCCTGCGCCCACCCAGTCCCCCTCCAGCGGGGCTCTGGGTGCGAAGACAAAAACAGAAAGGCTCAGCTGCGGGGTGCATCCCAGTGGCAGCCCCAGAGAGCTGGAGGGCCCTAGGGCAGCCACATCTTCACCTGTCTGGGGATGTAATAAACACAAAAGTGTAGGCAACCTGGGGGTGACCAGTCCCACTGTGCCTTTGATTCTGGCTTTGGGGTGGAGGCTGCGTCAATCAAATGCAGGATTCCAGCATTTCTAGAGAGGGAGCAGAGGAAACCTGAGGAAATCCTATTAGGTACCCTCCAACATGCTCCCAGAGCACCTAAGGATCACCTCCTGACAGTTCAGGTGCTGAGGAAGAAGTGGGTGTCCCGAAGACACGGGACTGAGAAATTGAAAAGATGGGATACAGTTTGGGGTTGGTTTATTGTAAGGTTTGTATTTGCCTATTGGTTTAGTCATCTGAGTGGCTGTTTCTGTGATTTCTGGCTCTTAGCTGCTGGGATGCTTCAAAGAGAACTCTGGTTTTATTTTGTTTGCTGTATGTTGATGGTGCTGTAATTAAGGTGTGTGTGTGTGTGTGTGTGTGTGTGTGTGTGTGTGTGTGTGTGTTGGGGAGAAGAATATTTGGAGGGTGTGTAGAACAAATATAAATCAGTCCCAGATGCCTCTGGGAATGTGTTGGTGAGTTGACATGGAAATTTACCTGGCTTATTTTTGGAGGGAGTCCAAACCTTCTCAGGTGTTTCTGGGGAGAACAGGATTTCAGTCAGGTTATCAGGCCTGGCACTAGTGTGGAGCCCAGACAGAGAAACTGGTGGCTTTGGTGAGGTTACATGTTTGAACCCCAAATTCAGCAACTAAGGGTAACTGAGGAACACCACAGCTGAGATAGGGGTCTTGGAGAGGGCATCAGCAGTTGGAAGTGGAAGGCATTGACCAGAGGATACTAAAATGGGAATTGTGGACTCCCTTGCCTTGGGATGAGATGGGTGTTTACTGGAAATGCAAATCCGTGGATTCTGCTTCCCTTTAAATCAATCTCTGGAACTGGAGCTCAATAATCTGCATTGTAACCCCTCCCACATTGTATGACACATGTATGGAGCATCTGCTATGGAGTGTTCTAAGCGCTAATGACAACAGGGAGCATGACAGACAGCCAAGAGCCTTCCTTGCTCCTGTGGAGAGAGTAGACACCCTATGGGACTGAAAGAATTACTTTCATTTCCTGACCTTGAATGAGAGAAAGTGTGGAGGGAATGTCAAAGTAGAAGTTCTGAAGATGCCCAGTAACTTGGTTTCTCTGATGGGAGGGGCTGTGGTCTGAATAGTTGTGTCCCCCCCACCGCAAACCTAAGTTGAAAATCTTATCACCAAGATGATGGTATTAAGAGGTAAGACTTTTGAGAAGTGCTTGGTTCAGGAAGACAGAGCCTTCACAAATGTCAGTGCTCTGAAAGGCTCTAGTCAACAGCCCTGCCCCTTCCATGACGGGAACATGGTGGGGAAAAGGCACCTGTGAACCAGAATCCAGGCCTTCATTGGACAGTGGATCTGCCAGGGAATTTGATCTTGGAATTTGCCTGGTTCCAAAACTGTGAGAAATAAATTTCTGCTGTTTAAAAGCTAGTCAGCCTGTGGTATTTTGTTGTAGCAACCTGAATGGATGAGGCAAGAGGCCATGCTGCCAGTCAGGAGTACAGATTAACGTCTTCACTCACCTCTCTCCATAGGGCTAATGTCTTTTTCTTTAAGTCTGCAATCAATTTTTTTCTTGTGCAAAGCCAGAAGTTTGGCCAGAAGTTTGGAAGCATTGGTTGCTTTAAGTTTTCATTTGTTAGAGTTAGAAATCAATTATAGAAAAAGAATTATAATGTAACCACTATTAAATGAATTTTTTCTTTGTTCTAGAAATTTACTGCCTTCATTTTCATAACAATCTTTTAAGTTAAAAATTAATAAATGATACATTTGCATGATATAAAAATGCAAAAGATTTCAAAAGGTTTACATTGAAAAATGCCCACCCAGTGGGTTCTCTTCCCCAATATAATTTGATGTTAATTCTTCATCTTTCCAGAAATACTCTATGTACTCTATGTATACATAAGCAGTTATATATTCCTACTTTTTCCTTTCTTTACACACAAATGGTAGCATCTAAATTTACTATTTTGTACCTTGCTTTTTCTTATTGTATGACAAGGTCAGTATTTATAGCTCTGTGTGTGTGTGTGTGTGTGTGTGTGTGTGTGTGTGTGTATGTGTGTGTTTGAGACAGGGTCTCCTTGAACCCCCAGCTGGCCTGGAACTCACAGAGATTCGCCTGTCTCTGCCTTCCAAGTGCGATTAAAGGCATACACCACCACACCCAGCTATTTATAGCTCTTTTTAAAATAGTTGCACATAGGGTGCCTGTGCTGGATAACTTTAGTTGTCAACTTGACACACTTGGGTAGAGGGAGCCTCAATTGCCTTCATTGGACTGGCCTGTGGCCATGTATGTGGGATATTTTTTTGATTGTTGAGTGAGGTAGGGGGGGCGGCTAGCTCACTGTAGGTGGTACCACCCCTGGGCAGGCAGTCCTGTGTTGTATAACAAAGCAGGTTGAGCGTGGGCCAGGGGAGCAAGCAGTGGGCAGTGTTTCTCCGTAGCCTGTGCTTCAGCTCCTGCCTTCAGGTTCCTGCCCTGAGTTTCTACCTTGGGCTCCCTCAGTGAGACATAAGGTAAAATAAACCCTTTCCTCCTCAAGTTGGTATTGGTCAGGGTGTTTTGTCACAGCAATGGAGAAACACACTAGAACAGTACCTTTATGGCTACGCAGCACTAGAATTGTTGCTGATATTGTTTGAATGCTACAGTCAGTAATCTCATACGTACCTGATTTTGCATGGATTCGAGCATGTATGTATAATTAATTACAGTGGAATTTCTGGCTAAACGACACAAATACTTATATCTTTTTTTTCAGTTCCTATCTTTTTATTAACTCATACACAATTATTTGTCTTTTTGTTTTTTGAAGCAGTAAGTCAGACAATACTTACCACAGTAATGTCTGTAAGGTGGCTGGCCATGAAAACTCCAGCTCCACACTCATCAGAAGGGCACTTTCAATGAAGGTGACTAATTTTGCCATTTTCATTCACCTTCTGGTGTTTCAGGATGACCAACTTCTTTCTCTTAGGCTTATTCTTCTTGGGATTGGTGTTAGCACCACCACGAAGTCTCAGTGCAAGATGAAGGGTAGACTCCTTTTGAACATTGTAGTCAGACAAAGTTCGTCCATCCTCCAGCTGCTTACCAGCAAAGATCAGCTTTTGCTGATCAGGAGGAATTCCTTCCTTATCCTGGATCTTGGCTTTTACATTTTCTATAATGTCCAAAGGTTCAACCTCGAGTGTGATGGTCTTTCCCATAAGGGTCTTTATGAAAATCTGCATCCTTGCCATTGTTCTACCGCAGATGGCAGATCAGAAAGCAAACACTTGTATTTTTATAGGTAAGGCAGGATAGGGATTATGAACATTGGTTGCCTGGGCTAGAATCCTGGCACTCCATCACTCTTCTCTTTGCCTCAGTTGCCCCCTTTGCAAAATAGGGAGACTCTGTGGAGACTGCTCAGCACTAGTAGGAGTGTATCAGTTTTTATCAAATAACAAGTCAACCCCAAGACTTAGTAGCTTCAGGTAATAGCCATTTTTACTTAGCTTACATCTGTGGGTTGGCTTGATGGCTCTTCTCATCTGTGCTGGTCCAGTGATCTCTTTTGGATGCTCTTATGCTTCTGTGGTCAGCCTATCAATCAGCTGGAGGATGGACAGTCTATGGTGGCCTTCTATGTCTGGTGGTTGACAGATGAGTTCGTCTTTGGGGACCTCATTTGGATGGCAAGTGACCTCTCAGGCTCCAGGAGGTGAGTGCAGGCTTCTTCATATGGTGGTTTCAGAGTTCTATAGTAGGTTGTCGGGGGAACAGGTCGCAGGGCTACAGCCCAGCACTTTTCACACCTCTGCTTTCTGTCACATTTGCTGTTGGCCCATTGACCAAAGCAAGTCAGAAGGCTGAGCTCAGAGTCTGTGGCAGGGTACTCTAAGGACAAGGACAGAGTGAACAGGACTTATCATTGCAAACAATCTACCACAGGATTGGTTAAGTGAATATTTTCACAGTGTCTAGTAGAAAGTCCAGCACACTTGAAATGCTTTGCAAGTTTTTTGAATTAAATAAAAGAGAAAGCAGCATTACCAAATTGCCTGTTTAGAGATTGTACAAGTTTACCCTCCATCAATGTGAGCACACCCATGTCCCTGTTTCTTCTTAGGGAATGCATCTGGGTCTTTTATCCATGGAGAAGCCAGTGTTCTTATTCCCATTTCATAGATGAAAAAAGTGGTGCTCAGGCAGGTTTTTTTTCCTACCACTATAGAGTCAGGTAAGGTCTTGAATCCCGTGTCAGTCTGATTTCAGAGCACCTTGGTGTGTCTTGCTGTTCTAGACAGCCTTGCATTTCCTGTCCTTCATTTCTGTTTCACATTTGGATCTGAGTGTGTTGTCAGATTGCTGAAGTCTTCAGCAGTGATTTTGATTTCAAACTGGCCTACTGAATTCAAAGTGAAGTATCCACCAAGACAGTGAGTTCTTTCATGGTTGTGAGGCGATGTAAAAAGGAACCTCTCACTTTTCCTCTTTAAAGTCGACAAGCTAGGATCCTGCTTCACTTCGTTTGTATTTCTTTTCCTTTGTTTTCTTCACATACATTCTTTTGGTGCAGTTTCTCTGTCACATCCCAGGAATTCCATTCCCCAAAAGGGGAAGAGATGAAGATGTTTCTTTGTGGCTGAGAACTTGATCTTGGGAGACTAACTACCTGGACTCAAATCCAGTGGACTAGCTATGGCTGAACTGGTTGACCTGTGGCAAAGGCTTTGCTAGTCTGAGTGGTCATCTGTGGAGACTGCTCAGTTATAATTACTACATGGAAATTACTTCCACTTCTGTCGACTCTGTTGTGTTTCACATTGCTTTTGCCTCAAACCTATTTCTTCATCCCTAGCTATGTCTAGTAATAAGAATAGAGAATGTTTCCAGGGCTCTTATGCTAAGCCCCAAACATGTAATTAATCACTTAATCCTTATAACAAAACTATGCAATAGTTCTATTTTCATTTTCAAGTGAGGAAAGCAGCCATTGAATGGTTAAGTTATTTAAATCCAGCGTACTACCGCTAATGATGTGATGGGCTTTAAAGGAGGTCTTCTGGCACTGAAGCTCATGCTCTTTATGTTTATGCTAAAAGAAAAAAATATGGTGGATAGTTGGGGATTGAAATTGAGTGCCCTGGCTCTGGGGAAACTGTTGGGGAGCTCACATGTGGCTTCCTTCCTTGGCGGCAGATAACTACAGCCAGCTGTGATTTTGACTGAAAAATCACAGCACACAGCAAATATAAACTTCCAGTCCTTTTGCCAAAAGCCTTCCCATTTCAATCATTGCAATTCTAACAAGATTTCAGACATTGTGCCTCCCATATAACTGAGGCGAGATACTATTGAAAAACACACAGGCATTTTTTATATTTATTTTTTAAACTTGCAAAACAAGCTGGCCACTTCTAAGTGAGTCTTGCCACCTCTTGCTTCTTTTGATGAACTACACTGGTGGCTGTGACACTGTTTGCCGAAGCAGCATGACTATAAAATAGAAATACTATGTCTCTAAGTCGAAGGAAGGAACTGAGGCCGTTTCAGAGGCATTGTTTGCATGTAGACCAAATTTAATGTGCCAACACTCATCAAACATCCAAAATTTAGGTTTGCCTTTTTTATGTCTCAGGAATCTGCTAAGTGAGGTGGAGCTCTGTATGGCTCTAACCTCATGGAGCTTGCAATCTCTCCTAGAGATCAACAGTATTATGTGCTGTGGTGTATACTGTGTGAAGAAAGAAGAAAGTGCTGGGTACTATAGTGGAAGTTCTTTGCTTAGGCAGGGTAGTTCATTTGGAATGCTAGAATGAAACAAACAACTGGCTGAGACTTGAAGGATGAAAAGGACAGCCAGAAAGGGGGACTGTGCTGGATAGCTTTAGAGTCAACTTGACACACCTGGGTTGAGGGAGCCTCAGTTGGGGAACTTCCTCTATTGGACTGGCCTGTGGCCATGTCTGAGGGGTATCTTCTTGATGAGTGATGTGGGAGGGCCCAGCCCACTGTGAGTGGTGCCACCCCTGGGCAGGTGGGCCTGTGTTGCATAAGAAAGCAGGCTGAGCAGGGGCCAGAGGAGCAAGCCAGTGAGCAGCGTTCCTCCATGGCCTGTGCTCCAGTTCCTGCTTCCAGGTTCCTGCCCTGAGTTCCTACCTTGGGCTCAATGATGAACTGTGACCCGGGAGATGTGAGCTGAATAAACCCTTTCCTCCCCAAGTTGGTAGTAGTCAGAGTGTTTTGTCACAGCAATGAAGAAACAAACCAGGACAGGGACGTAGAATGCGTAGTGGATGCAAAAAGGGGGTGAGGGCCAGCAATTAAAAAAAGTGAGTAACATTCAGAATGCCCAGATAGATGGGTCATGCACAAGGAGATAAGGACAAGAATTGAGGTTGAAAAGGCAGGTGAAGGTAGATCATGTAAAACACGAGGAAAAGGGAGCTTAGGACAATGAAAAACCAGGAGAGGTTCTCACAGATTTTTGAAAATCAAGTATTTGTTTCAAAAGTTTCTTTGGCTGCTGGTTGTAGAGTGGACTCAGGGTTGGGAAGAGCAGAGGGAGATGACCAGTTGGGAATCTGTTATGGTCATTTTTGTGGCCTTCACAAGGTAGATGATTGAGGTAGTGAATAAGTACATCCTGTTCAGGCAGTATTTTGAATGTGGAACCAAGGGGCTTGGTGACAGAGGACATTGAGGACCATGAGAAGAGCACAGTGTGCTGGATAGCTTTAGTGTCAACTTGACACATGTGGGTTGAGGGAGCCTCAATCGGGGAATTGCCTCTATTGGACTGGCCTGTGGCCATGTCTGAGGGGCATCTTCTTGATGAGTGATGTGGGAAGGCCCAGCCCACTGTGGGTGGTGCCTTCCCTGGGCAGGTGGCCCTGTGTTGCATAAGAAAGCAGGCTGAGGAGGAGCTGAGGGAGCAAGCCTGTAAGCAGTGTTCCTCCATGGCCTGTGCTCCAGCTCCTGCCTCCAGGTTCCTGCCCTGAGTTCCTACCTTGGGCTCCCTGATGAACTGCGACCTGGGAGTTGTAAGACGAATAAACCCTTTCCTCCCCAGGTTGGTAGTAGTCAGAGTGTTTTGTCACAGCAATGAAGAAACAAACTAAGACACACAGGATGACTCACTCCCAGGTTTCTGGCCTGGTAGTCAGAGTGTTTTGTCACAGCAATGAAGAAACAAACTAAGACACACAGGATGACTCACTCCCAGGTTTCTGGCCTGGTAGTCAGAGTGTTTTGTCACAGCAATGAAGAAACAAACTAAGACACACAGGATGACTCACTCCCAGGTTTCTGGCCTGGTAGTCAGAGTGTTTTGTCACAGCAATGAAGAAACAAACTAAGACACACAGGATGACTCACTCCCAGGTTTCTGGCCTGGTAGTCAGAGTGTTTTGTCACAGCAATGAAGAAACAAACTAAGACACACAGGATGACTCACTCCCAGGTTTCTGGCCTGGTAGTCAGAGTGTTTTGTCACAGCAATGAAGAAACAAACTAAGACACACAGGATGACTCACTCCCAGGTTTCTGGCCTGGTAGTCAGAGTGTTTTGTCACAGCAATGAAGAAACAAACTAAGACACACAGGATGACTCACTCCCAGGTTTCTGGCCTGGTAGTCAGAGTGTTTTGTCACAGCAATGAAGAAACAAACTAAGACACACAGGATGACTCACTCCCAGGTTTCTGGCCTGGTAGTCAGAGTGTTTTGTCACAGCAATGAAGAAACAAACTAAGACACACAGGATGACTCACTCCCAGGTTTCTGGCCTGGTAGTCAGAGTGTTTTGTCACAGCAATGAAGAAACAAACTAAGACACACAGGATGACTCACTCCCAGGTTTCTGGCCTGGTAGTCAGAGTGTTTTGTCACAGCAATGAAGAAACAAACTAAGACACACAGGATGACTCACTCCCAGGTTTCTGGCCTGGTAGTCAGAGTGTTTTGTCACAGCAATGAAGAAACAAACTAAGACACACAGGATGACTCACTCCCAGGTTTCTGGCCTGGTAGTCAGAGTGTTTTGTCACAGCAATGAAGAAACAAACTAAGACACACAGGATGACTCACTCCCAGGTTTCTGGCCTGGTAGTCAGAGTGTTTTGTCACAGCAATGAAGAAACAAACTAAGACACACAGGATGACTCACTCCCAGGTTTCTGGCCTGGTAGTCAGAGTGTTTTGTCACAGCAATGAAGAAACAAACTAAGACACACAGGATGACTCA